AAAAAAAGACGTTTATGTGCGCCTTATAGTCGTGAAAATACGGTATTTTGTTTAATATGGGTTAAGCTTTAGTACTCTTAGTATGTGTAAATTGTTTACATCTTGTATGACTATGTACTGTTTACTGGGACCTAGTTAATAAGTAACATGTGTGGGCATCTTCTCGGTATCCAACTTTTATGAGTCTGTCCACTTAATGACCTCTTGACTCATGCGTTATAGTGATGCATGAATTCTGAATCCCTGAGTCAAGATTTTTGTATATGTGTTTTTACTCTTCTTATGGCATGAAAAAAACAATTTTTTTTTTTCAAAAATTAAATTTTTCCAGGAAGTTACAGAAATCTCCCCTACAGTGGACTACATGAGCTTGAGCACGCAACACAAAACATTATGAATTATGAATTATTTTATGAAAAAATAACTCTTTAGCCTACAGTGCTGATATAGATGTAAATGAACTGATTGCTTCTTTAATCAGCATGCTCATTAAACATGTTAAATAGGGGTGCATTTCACTTTTCCTTGCCTATGGACCCAAAAGATTTTTTGGTTCGCTCCGCTCGCCATTTGGCTATAATACCTTATCTGTCTTATTTGCCCCCTCACATTTTAAAACCTTCCTACGCCCCTGTTAAGTGGTAATAGATTCAATCTTGATTTACATAGTGCAATTGTGAGGAAAATCAAGACTCTCCTTTTTTCTATTTGGTCTGTTTTGAAATAAGAAATAATGACAAAAATAGCTGTAATTTTTTATGGCATGTTTATGCTGAAGTTCTTCACAGTTGGTATACAATCTGTAGCAGGTGGTTCAACGCATCAATACATCTAGTGGTTTCTGAAAGTTACAGGATCTTTAAAGTTACATTTAAAATTATACAGACTCATATTAGAAAATGTAGTATGTATTTTTGAATACTTAAGTACTTTTAAATGCACGTACTTTTGAATACTTAAGTATTTTCAAAGTTGAGTTTTGCAATACTTTAACTTGAATGGATGAGTAACTTTTTACTGGTAGATTAGTAAGATTTGACTATGAGTATCAGTATCAGAATTCTTGAAAAACACAGAATCTTTCAGCCCTTTCTAGCATTTTTTTTCTTCCCCCATTCTAAGACAGTCTCCACCACTCACACATCCTGTCTATATGAACACAATGAGTTCTTTGTCTTCCTGATGCTACCAAAAACAACAACAACAACAAACAATGTGTCCCTTTAGGTGTGCTTTCATTAGTTGTCTCATCTGGAAACAGCTCTGCTTAGAATGAGGTGTTTTACCCTTTGAAATAAGCAACGAAGAAGAAAACACATCATAAGTAAATAGATTTCATTTTAATCATCCAACTGATCACGTGATTTAAATGGAGGAGAACACAAGCCCTTGTGTGTTGTTGGGTCTGACAGACACTCCCTTTTGAAAAGAAGCCTGCAGCATAGCCAAGTATTAACCAATCACAGTGCACCAAACACTAGTGACATTGAATGCATTTACCATTTCAGATAGTTCAAACATATAAAACTCTCAGTCTCTCTCTAAAATGTACCTCACTGGCTCGATCCAGTTAGTAAAGGATTAATCTTTGTTGAGACCAGCATCTCCAGAAACCAAGCAGACAGTGGGGTAAACACATGAGCTCTGGCTCCATCTGAAAATCAGATAACAACACCATAAACTGGCAGTTCAGCATGAAAAGAAGTGGAACTGGCATCAGATATTTATATACACTGTATCAAAATACCTTTATAACATATTCTCACTGTTGTACAGTAAATGACACTAAAGTTCTCGCTTCTCAGGTTAAAAACATCTTCCATCTTCAAATTTACATACATTACTGATGAGCCTTATGGCAAATTAGAAAAACTCTTATTATTTCTGATAAATTAGATTGCAACATTTTAGTTAACTGGGTGTTACATATCTGTAAATGTATTTTAAGGTAAAATCTAAAATACACTGACTCCTTCTGTTTTTTATTGAAACCCCAAAAGAAATCAGCTAAGATATCAGAAAGAGAATCGTAGTTCATCCTTAGGTACAATATTCAGATTACTGAAGTGCATCTGTGGCAGGAGAGTAGAGATAGACCAGTACATCAGCTAGCCAATATTAAGTGGTTTTTTTTTTTGTTTTGTTTTTTATCTGGTATCTATAGTGGCCATTATGTGCATACATTTGGCAAATCTATTAGTGCAGTGGTTCCAAACCCAGAATTGTTACTTCTATTGATGAAAGTACAGAAATCCTGACTTTTGCAGTGTTGGGAACTGCATTGCTTTACCAGCTGTTCTGGGTTTATTTGTGATTTCACTAATGAGTTGTGGTGCATTCCTGGAGTAAGTGAATGGCCACTACTGAGAAGCTTCAGCACTATTTCTCTTCTCTACAAAAAGGATGTGGTTTCTTGCTTAAGATATCTTTCTCTGCATCAGAGTCAGGCTTGGACATAAACATACTAGGTCTACAACATCATGCAAGCAGGGTTGCCAGATTGCACTGACTCTCGTTTTCCAGTCCAAAAAATTTTCATAAACCGGATATATAAAATCTCCCCAAATTTGAACCAAAGTCTATGGATCTCTTAAGCCATAAATCTAAAGAAAAACATTTTTTACCTATAGACAGCCATCTTAAACAATACACATAAGACAGGAAACGATAGCCTTTAGATGGTAACCCCATCATTGCGAGATATTCAAAAATGAATTTGCCAAATATAAGAGGAACATCGTAGTTTGGTTTAAAGAAAGCATTTTAGCTTTATTATAACTTAGTTTGATGCAAGGATTTTACAGTTTGACGAAATAGAAAATTACATCATATGCCAACTGTCACAAGGATGTGCATTGCAAGGAAGGGCTATATATACTGCTTGCATCATTTAAATAGTTTAAGTTGTATTACTTCTGGAGCTCCTTGAGTTATTTACTGTCACAGGTGCTTCGGCCAGAGAGTAAGTGATGGGGCCGGTATGATTTAAGGAGAGCCAGCCCACCGGGCAAATGCCCGGTATCACAGATTACCAGTCCGTGCCTGGTCAGAGTGGTTTATAATTGAGCAGTTTGGAATACCTTTTTTTTTCGCAATACATGAAATAAGCATTTAAATATAGCATTTTGTAGTAATGCAGGTTATCAAAAAAAAAGTAAACAAATGAAAATAATCAAAGGGAGAATATTTTTAGAACAAGAGATTACAAGCAGTCAGTTACAATTAACATTCCAGAGTACCCCTACAGGAACAGATCAGTTTCCTTATGCTTTTATAATGTAAAGTGTGTGTTTTTTGTGCTTGCTTTGGTTGAGACCAGAATTTAGATGTTTGTGTAATATTTCACAATTAATGAACAGAATTTGAAAAAAAAGAAGAACATTGTTGTGGCTTTATGCTTTATTTGAAACCACAAATGAAACCCTCCAGATCCTCTCTTTACTCCTAAAGCCCTGGATGATTGTGCTTCATCTTGAATAGTAATTAAAAAACAGAAATGTACTGTGTGGCACAAAGCGCAGGAATTACAGGGAACATATTTGGAGTGATTAAGGGTGTAGGAATAGACTGGGGTCCCTCCAAAAGTGCAAGGGACAGAACAGCTGCTCACTTATAGGTCCATCACAATTCTAGCCTCCTTTTTCATGTTACATCCTCCGCACCCACAAGCGACCATAATGGAAAAAAGGAAAATATGGCATATTATACGTGCGGCAATTCAAAACAGAGGGCTGAATACCAAGCGACAAGCAGGCCCTTTAGCGTTTACCTATGACGGTGAAAAACACTGCAGGGAAGATGCACGCATTTAAAAGGCTCATTGTCGCTTTCCATCCTAAACCTATCCGACAAATGCAATCTGCTTCCTCATTAAGGGAAATTAAGAAAAAAATAGCAAATAAATACATTTTCACCTATTTTGTGCATACTTAATTGTGTTAATCTATGGATCGAAATATCGTCACAGATGTCCAGCTGAGTAGGGGCCTCTCTAATCAGGCTTATTATTAACAATAGAAGGTAATGAACAGGATTCTCACCTCAGTAAAGACGCGCAACGAAACGTTTCTCCGCCGTCCTGCTCATAGCTCTCTCTTGCTCTAACGGATCCGATCCAAGGCGGTCTGGTGGAAGTGAATCTGGATAAAGGGAGAGAGGAGGAGATGCGGTCGCAGCGCATCGCAACACACAGCAGCTCGCTGTGGATGGACGGATGCTCCCCCTGCAGCAGCAGCGGCAGCAGCGCAGCGCACAGGCGCACCGACACACAGCCACAGGGCTCTGCGAGCTGGCAGGGCTCCAGCCTTCGCTGATATCACTTAGGCTTATGTATTCAAACACATTGGAGCTTTTTATTTTATTTTCTAAAATGACTTTTAGCGTCGTAAAGCTGAGATCTATGCACGAGAAGGCCTGTTTGCATGGGCGGTTCTTGCATGACTGGAACCATGGACAAGCCCCTCCTTTTGCCCAACTGTAACCCCACATTCCTTTACAAAAGGCATTCAGCTTAATCTAGTTACATGTGGATGTTAATGAATTTGAATAGGTTATATACATTAATAAAGAATATGTTGTTAGATCATGGGCGATTCTAAACGGGGGCCATCCGGAACTCCTGGCCCCTGTACCCAGAGGTTTAGCCAGAAAAATTGTATAAGGGTGGCCAGGCAATAACCAATGTACACTGAAGGGTGGCTGAAAGCGGATAGGCGCCAGAACCTCAGGGTGTCACATTGAGTTGGAGGCTTTTGTGAGGACCCAAATGAAGAGGCTGAGAGGCAGAGGTGACTTCCTGTAGTTTTACTGAGTAAACACAGGTAACAGAGGCAGCAATCCAAAGATCCAACTTAAAGTTAATAAAACAAAAACCATGGAGACTTCAGCGGAAAACAAACACGAGGAGCCAGGAACAGATGAGGTAGGAAGACAACAGCAACGAAGAATCAGGAACGACAAGGAACCAGCGAAGAGTGACAGCAGAGGAAGAGTATTTATGGATGACTGAACAAAGGCAGGGCTAACGAACTGATAAGGAGCAGGTGTGAATGGAGACAACGAGGAAGCCAAAAGAAAAGGAACATACACAAGAGGGCAACAGAGGAAAACAAAGAAAAACCTGAGAACTAAAATATATATCCAAAAAATACAACAAAATAGGAATTAAACCAATAAGAAAACATGGAGCAAAGTAAAACATAACAGAATTAAGACTGTGCCCATTCCAACAGGGAGAGAAACATCCATATTCTCTAAATAAAGACAACCTATATTTTCCTACAGCCTTTGCTAACAAATAGATATTTAAACATCCGTGCTTTCTAGATAAAAGGTAGAATGGATACAATTCTTTCAGTTTTACGTTCTGGGTCGTAAATCTTTTCCATTGTTATTACTTAACTACTTGTATCAAAAAACATTCTGCATAAAATTGATATTTACAAGTACTAATATCTACATAAACTGATTATTTGATAAGCTTTTATTAAAATTCTTGTTTATCTATGATTTCACTGGAGACTCCTAGATGACTTGCAGCAAAAACATTTTCTCCTTACCCCATATAATACAAAATCTTCTTCTGAAAAGAGCATGAATTCTGTACTTATCATATTTGATTTTAGTATATTGATGTGTATAATTAACCCAAAAAATGCCACCATCTGTATTAGAGGGAAAAACATGGTATGGGTGGACACAGGGGTGGCCAATGATTAGCTAGCCCCAACCATGCCTGTACCAAAGAAATATTACAGTACGAATGTATAATAAATAAATGATCATTATGCAATGGAACAGTAAAACAATTGATAAGTGCTTTCAACTTATTTTTGTATTTCTACAGTTTTATTTTATTTATGTTTTAAAAATCAAGTTGTTGCACATTTAGTTTCAGTTTGTTAAAGGTATAGTGGAGGATGTTGTTTATCCAGGCAGATCATCAAAGTAAGTCGTCCTCCTAATTTTCAGTCATTCTTGCGATATGTTCACATAGCCATCCTACATATGCTTGTCCCTTTTTTCACTTACCAGTGGTGAGTCTGACATAGTGAAAATTTGCAAATCTTCTTTTGGAAAGTAAGCATGTATGAGTGATGCAAACAGCAACTTTTATGCAGAGTGTGGACGAGGAGAAACAGGCTTGTGCACGCTCTCACACGTGTTTAATAGGCATTCCCTCTCAGGAGCGGTTACAGGGTTGTGCATGTGCATTTTTTAATTATTTAAAAAAGTGGAGAGTGCTGGTGTTTTTAAAAATTTGTGAAAATTATCCCTTATACCTTTAAGACAGAGGCTTTTTTGCTGGATCTGAGGATTCATGAGCTGAAAATGGCTCTTTGGTTCATTTGATATAACAAATGAGGAACTTTTGCACTGTTTTTTGTTTGTTTTGGTTGGTCCACAGATCTCACCATAGTTACTCTGAAAAAAAAAAAAACATAATAAAAAAAAAACTTGCTGTCTCGCTCATTCGTTGTACTTCTGGAAAAGGGTGGGTGGCCCTTCGTCTCAGGCTCAGGTCCTGTACCAGAGGCCTGGGAGCCAGCTGTTCGCTGGACTGCATATTTCTGGATTAGGATCTCTGGTGTTTCTCCACGTATCTGCTGGAAACAATTTTCCAGTATGGGGGTTACAGCCCCCAATTCTCAGATGACAACTGGAACTTCAGTTGCCTTCACTTCCCAAGCTTTCTCTACTTCTTCCCTTCCCTTTTTTCCAGATGTTTCCATTATTCAAGGATGGCCACAACGATCACTATGGCCGTCTTCTGCATATCAGTGATAATGTCTCAGATCTTACCTCTGCCATTCTCTTTTGAACTTAGGGTCTCCAGTTTGTATTCTGCACAGATGTTTCTGTATACTATACCAGCCACTTGTTTATGATGTCCAATGTATTCCAGAATCTTATACCCTGTTGTGAGATGGTGGATTGTTTCTGTTTGCATAGCCTGCACCTGGTATCTTGCCTGGAATGGTAGATCTGGACATCTATTGCTCTCATACTCAAGGCCTGCTCCTGTGGTGCCATGGTCAGTGCACCTGTGCCGTCCTTCAGCCTGGACCTCTCTAGCCAATAATAGGATTTGTTCATATCAGCCTCTTCAGCTATCTTTTGGTGGAACATTCCACGCAGGTGTTTTTTTCCTCCCATGACAGTTCCTCCCGTTTCTACATTTCCAGCTTCCATTGTTTGAGACATTCTCTAAGCACTCCATACCTTGGGGACATCTTCCTGATGTATTGTTGGAACTTGGATGTTTCATCTTCAATGGTGGCTCTGATGCTCACTAGGCATCTACCTCCTTCCAATTGCTGGAATTTTTCTCCTTTGGGCTCCTTATTCATCTTCTGCAGGGTATCTGATTCCTGGCAACATGATGTCAAGCATGAAATGGACCAAGCTTAACTTGTAGAAAGTAGATAACACATCTTTTATTCCCACATTCTCAAAACCTTTTGGTCAGTGATGAAAATCTTGTCTGGTAGTGTACAGACTGGGCAGTAAGCAGTACCAGCAGGACACCAATCTAAGCGCACAGTTACCATTCTGATTGTAGTGAGACAGATGTGCTGTGTTTAAACCTCACATATGTTTTTCTATAGATGCACATTAAACTTTAAGAAACTCTGCCCTGCTATCCATCTTTGTATGCGCTTAGCTATGTGTCTGCACTCGTGCTTTGCCCCGGTGGTGCACCCTGGAGCTCATTGCTCTCTCTTCATCCTCTGTGCACTCAGTTGTCTCTCTATGTTGTGGAAAACAGCATCTGCAGCATAATTTGTCTGACTTTGAGAATTTTATTTCTTCCACCTCACAAGAACTTATCTAATTTCTACCAAAGAAATCCCTATATATATATATACAAAATACATTTTTCATTATTTTACAGTTTATTTTATATGTAAAGACACTGATGAGATGGCAAATAGATCTTGGAATATTTGTGTCTTGTAATTCCCTTTTTTCTGTCAGTTGAATCAGGCTGTTGGTTTTTCGTACATTAATGTTTTTTTCTTTTTCTTTCAGATAAAATTTAGGATGGTCATGACATTATAAGGCAGTTTTTGAAAATGTTAAAAATATTGAAGTGGGTATAATGGGTTAAATTGATTTAACCATGAAACTTTTGTTTTTGTTAATCAAGAGTAAAAATAGCTACTGTTTTCTATATATTTCTTTATAGATAGACCTTTGTAGGTGTTGCATTAGCCTCAGTATAGGTAAAAGGTAAAAAATCAGATTAGTGAGCTTTGAATTATTGTTTTATGATATATTATTTTTCTTGAATAATCAAAATGGAGAAGCTAGAGGCCCAAACTAATATATATATATATATATATATATATATATATATATATATATATATATATATATATATATATATATATATACAATATCAGCTTGTAGCTTTATTAATATTGTACCAGCAAGAATTTCAAATTGCTTTAACCGTTGCTATGTGTTTCATCCAAGAGTGGCAATAATTTCTTTCCAAAGATTTTTTTTCACAATCTGTTGATTTAGGTGAATCAAATTATGTCTCTAGATGTTTATATACAGCAAAATGTACATATTGCTGTATTTGGCTTCAAACAAGGTGCCAAAGTGCTCAAGAGGCTTCAATAAAACGTCCCTGTTTTTCTGCTATAGTTTTAGTTTTATATTGTAAAATAATGAACAAAGGGTAATGCATGGTCTATAATAAAAAAATGAAAGCAAAAAAACCCCAGAAATTATTGACATACAAAACGAATTCTTCAAGATAATCCAAAAACACAATAATGTATTCGCATGCAATATGTAAATCAGTTCAATTGTCTCTTTCTGCGTACTTCTCTCATGTGAGACGGGTATGACGTAAAATAAACTGTGCGCTTATTTTGCAGCAAGGCCATTTTTAAAAGATAGTCCTATATTTGTTTTAAATGTATGAAGAAATAGCACCGCCACTTTGGCATGTTAGGGTCTGTCAAACAAACACATCCCTGAAACGCAAAGCCCATTGATTGACAGAAACGTGGTCCAATGGCAGTACAGAATTTCTGTCACTGACCAATCAGCGTCAACCAGGTCAGGCGTTGTGTGTTTTGCTTTTGTCAGTGGTGCAGAGGGTTTACGATGGCCGCTTCCTTGGAACAGTGTCTTAAGAGGCTTTTCTTCTTTATATTGACATGCCCTCTCTTTGTTATAGCCTTTTTGAACTTGGACGAGCTAAATGAAATGAAATATGGGATTCAAATTCTTCCTGACCCCGTAATGTTGGGGCAGGTAAGTGAAGTCGTTTCAGACGCTAACGGTAACATCTAGCTTGCTAGCTAAGATGTAATCGAGTGCTTTTTAAATATGATTCCTTGGTATATTCCCATTATTTAAATTGCATTAAAGCGAGAAAGTCTGTTGGTATATAAGGAGGTGTTAAGACATTTTGATAATTCACAGTGTTAAGGTTTACGGAATAGTTTTGAGTTTATATGCGTATCTATTTGCAACAGCTGTCATTACACCTTCCTCACAGGTAGCTTCTCTGTTTCATCGTTTTACATCACAAGCACTTTACTTTCAGGAAACTTCTGTTCTAGCTTGCTAAAAGTCCTTATTCAGTGCTCCTATTAAGAGTTATTGTAATTGTTTTGGCTGTCTTCCTGTTTCAGACTAAGACAGAGGAGGTCATGATGGTATCCAACAAGTACAAGCAGCTCTATGAATGTCGACTTCCAGCTCAGGCAGTCCGATTTCACCAGGATCCTGCTTCCGAACCCGACTCGCAGGGCTACACTGGACCAGACATCCCTGACCTTCTCAAGCCAATGCACAAAGCCCCCTGTCTTATAAAGGTTGGTGAAAAAGCTCTGTTTGTATCAGCTTATTATTTGTAATCCACTTGTCAAATGCAGGCTGTTCACATAAGCAAGAGATTAGGGGGCATTAATTTCCATCTACAGTGCAGTGATAATTGCCTTTGAGCTATTACACCTACATGTTGCATGTTAAAATATGCCAGTGTTACACACTAGCATGTTACAATATGCTAGTGTGTCAGGAAAGTTAAGAAAGATCTGGAATCTAATCAGGGTAGCCTTATTTTGACCATGTGTATGTTGAATAATGCTATAGTTTTAGTTAGATTTAGGGTTTATGATCGAAAATTCAAACTAAATGTTGCATGCAAAAAGCTGAATATATATATACAATATACAGAAATGTGTATAATAACATGTATAAGATTAAAACCAATTTTCATTACAACATAAATACTCTAGAACAGAGGTCTTCAACAGGGGGTCTGAAGAGGTACTGCATGGTGGTCCTAAAAGTTTTGGTTGATTAGACTTGTTTTATATCCCCCCCCCCCCCCGCAATTTTTTCCACTAATCTTTAAATACACATTAACATGAATTCAACACACTGCAGTAAGCAGATAAATTGAGACAGAAAATGTCTTTCAGTCATCAATGCACACATTCAGCGACACACAGGAGCTCTTTCAAGCTGGGCACCATTTCATTCACAACACCTGTCCCATTAACAAGGAATCAGAATCAGAAATACTTTAATAATCCCAGGGAGGAATTACTTTTGTTACATTACTCCATCTGTAATAGAGTGACTTTAGCACCAGTTTAATTCAACAAAATTTCAAACAATATATATATAATTATGGGGTCCCCACTCCATCTCGCCGTCAGTTTGGGGTTCCTTGGCCGGGAAAACGTTAAGGACCCCTGATCTAGAAAGACCAGACCTCACAATATCCTATATTAAATCCGTCTCAACCGCACTATTTTTAAGCTAGTTTGTGCTACTAAGATAACCCCTTTTTGATAAATGCCTCTATAATGAGGGAGATGCTTTATAAAAATGCTTCACATTTAGAAGTTTACATAGTTTTTCTACATATTTTGTAGAATGAACTTCAACTGTATGACCTCAGTCAAACTTTTACAAATAGAGAGAGAAAAATCTAATCCTTACTACAAAAACTTTTAATCACACCTAATATCAGAAACTGAGAATGAAAGGTTGTGTGTCTTTTTATTTATGTAAATACCTAGCCTTAGCTGTATAGTTTATAACTTTATTGCTTATACATTTAATATACACTCTTTTTTTAATATTAATTAATAACAAGATCATTTTTGACATGTTTTCTATTGATTAAAAGATGCCGAATTGAGCAATATGCTAACTGCTGTGTTTAATTATTGCAGACAAAGGATTGGTGGACATATGAATTTTGTCACGGACAACATATTAGACAATATCACCTTGAAGGTAAAAAAAAAAAAAAGTCCCTTATATTCTATTTTTCTATTTTTCCAATTGCCAAAAAATGCTTTCTCTATTTATACTAAAACTGTCTTCGAACTTCTGTAAATCAACGACTGTGGCTTTGTTTCTATTCCTCTATTGCATCTTGAAAAAAATATTTTTTTGTCTTTTTTTTTTTATGTTTAACCCAGTTAAGTTTTCTAGATTCGTAAAAGGATTTAAAACATATTGCATTTCTGCTTTAAAATATCTATAGATGTTTTTAACTTTATTCTCGAATGCTATCAAACAGTCATGAAAAATGATTTTAATAACTGGAGTTTTTTGCATGACAAAAAATGATGCAAAACAAACCACTGGGTAATTTTGCTTTGTAAGTCTGTCCAGCTCAGCTATTTACACTGACAGTTTGATGCTCAGTTTTCTAACAAATGAAGTTAATTACAGCAAAGTTTCTCTGTTTTTTTTTTTTTTTTTTCTTAGACTCTGAAATTAAAGGGGACATTCTTTTTCTGGGACACTATGAGTCTGAATTTGATTGGAGCAATGAAACAGCAAAGGTACGGCTGCCTTATTGTCGGATGAATTGCATGTTGTTAACGTTAAACCAATTTCTTTGCAAAAAGCAGTTTAATGAATTCACATTTCACCTCTTTATAACCACCTAGTTTATTGTATTTTATTGAGTGCTGGACCAACACATTGTAGCACATACTAGGATTGGTACTCTGGTGCAAGCAATTGGCTTCAGACATCTTCTGTTTACAAAACTTGATCTGTCTGTGTTTAACTTGATGTCAGGATAAGTCCATCCATTATTTTAGAGTGTCGGAGGTTTGTTAGAAAACATGAGTAAAAAAAGACCAAGCAATACGGCTGACACTTTGGGGAGAGAGTTGTGCAGAAGTGCTACGCAGAGTCGGGTTAAAAAACTATATACAGGTTTGAAAATCTTATGAGCGTAACTATAAACCCACTAGGGCATGGCCACCTGAGCTTTAGTCTAGGAGAGCATTTGAAGAAACCCTAGTAGCTGTGAAAGAGCTACAGTGATCTACAGCTTTGTGTTGCAAATCTATGGAAGGACAAGTAAGAATAGTGTGCTTTCTTAATGGAAAAGCAGCATGAAGAAAGACAATACTTTTAGGTATTCCACATGTGCTGTAGAAGACGGATCAAACAATTGGAAGAAGGCTTCTTTGAGAATACATCAGTAATGTTTTCTGTGGTGGTAAGGGGTTGTCAGGGCATGTTTTGCAGAAATGTGCAGATAAGAAACCTGGTGGTTAACGGACAGTGTAGGGCTAGAACTAACGATTAGTTTGAAAACTCGATTAATCTATTTATTTTTTTAATAATCAGATAGCCAAAGGTTCCTTAAAAAAGGCTTTTTGCAAAATTAAACCAGGTGAAACTAAGACTTTTCCACTTGAGGAGTTCTGTATAGAGCATATTGACAGACTAAAAACATTTTTATCTTGAATACAAAATGTTTATATTTTTTCTTTTTTCACAATTTTGGTGCGTTCTCTAATTTGGTTGCACCGTCAGCTAAAGGCATGTTTTAGAGTCTACACTCCAAAGGGATCAAAGTATTCCAGCCTGAGGCTGAATTTCCAGCTCGTAGCAATTGCGCGTGGGTAAAAAAAAAAAAAAAAAATCACTCGCAAATAAATTGATGGTAAATAAAAGAAAAAAAAAAGACATTTGAAAATTCGAAAGAGGAAGGAGGCTGGGGACTGGTAAGGCAGGCTGGGGGAAGCACAGGGCCGCTGGTGTCCAGGCTACAGTTACGGTCAGGTTCAGTCGCTCCGTCCCCCGTCGACTCCCTGTCCTCGTCCCCTGGGTTCCTTACGGCTCTGTTCGAGTGCCCGGTGTGTTTCGACCACGTGCTGCACTGTAGTCAACCAAAATCCTGGATGATTTTGAAAAATATTTTCCCATTTAAACTAATGTCATTTTTGAAATGACCATTATTGTTTGATTTAATCAAATGCTTTCTAGCAGTCTGTTGATACAGTTGATGCATCCTCTTCCTCCTGTAGCAGATGAATTAGGAAGTGTAACTGTTTGCCCAAGTAGTAGCTCAGGATAATCTTTGGATTATCTTTGGATCATGTTTCTCTTCTCCACCACAACAAACACACTTTACATTTGGTAAGGATCATTACCAGACCACAAGCAGGCAGCATAAGATCTCGGTGTTTAAAACCACTTGCTGCGAATGTTTAATGGGTTCTATTTTTGTTGTTTGTTGAGCAACATGATTATTTTAAAAGCAGGTTTTACTTCTTGAACTTCATTGCCCTTTAAATTTAGGTCACCTTCCATAGGGGATGATTGATATCAAAGATAGTTTTTGAAAGCAATTTATGTTATTTATCATTTGTGTTACTAAACTTAAGTAAAAAAAATCTCAATCCAATTTGGTAAGAATAAACTGGAGATTAGATATTTAGGCCACATCAGCTAGCTCTAGGCTGAGGTAGTTTGACATATAGAAATAGGTTTATTTGGTTTGAAATTAAAGATGGCTTTACACAAGTACACTACACACTAAAGCTGAACAATTAACAGTATTAATCTTGACTAAGAGATTATTGACTTAATTATCAACTAATTCAGTAATTGATTTGTCCTTTACTGGAGTATAAAGGCTCTAAATCATGCCATTTAGCTGACAAAGCAACTCATGTAGAGGAGTAATTATACAAAAAAATGGGTATTGTTTTCCTTTAACTTTATAAATCTGATCTATGTTGTGTTGGTCTTTCACATGAATTACCAATAAAACAAACATAAGTTGATGGTTATAATGTGACAAGATATGAACACGTTTAGCAGATTTGATCATTCTACAAGGCACCTTATCTCTGTAATAATCAGCTGTAAGATATCCTTTTGATGTTTTCCCTTCCTTTCCTCATCTTGCAGGCCTCTAAACAGCACAAGCTGAAGCGGTACCACAGCCAGGCTTACGTTAACGGATCCAAGTGTGACCTAAATGGAAATCCTCGAGAGACTGAAGTCAGGGTGAGACTTGATTGACCACTGCTGCACTTCAAGAAAAGGAAATGTCATAAGAGCTGTACAAAACAAAATTTCAAAAAAGTTTGTCTAAGTCTAAAAGTCTTTTGAATTTAGGAAAGTTCTATAATCGATGTAACCCAAGGCTCAAGTTACAGTTTGTTTTACACCCAGATTTTTTTTGTGTAAATCTTACTGCCTGTAAAACTTTCAATTATTAGAAGAAATCCCTTTCATTGGTATTTAAAGTCCTATTCACAATACCAATATTTATAATCCTTTTACACTGTTTCCAGTTTGTTTGTGAAGAAGGCTCGAGTGACTACATCGCCCGAGTGGACGAGCCACAATCGTGCCGCTATGTTTTGACTGTTCACACCAGTCGCACCTGCCAACATCCCTTTCTGCGGCCGCCGTCCTCCTCCAAGCCGCAGGGTATTGTGTGTCAGCCTGCTCTGAGTGCACAGCAGTACATGGATTATGTGAAAGCTCAAGTCTGTGAGTGAACTGAAACACAAGGTTTAAGATGTTGTGCTGAATAATTTTGGATAGAAAGAAAAAACAATAATATTTCCTGCTATTGCTGACATATATCAGTGTGTTTATGAACATACAGTGATATTGCTTACAATGATCAAACCTCCCAGGATGTTCAGTGACGTTTCGGCTGTTTTCTTTCTCTCCTGTCTGTTCCCAGCGGACACAAAGCGTAAAGTGGAGCAAATCTCAGAGGAGCTCAAGAGCCTTGATGAGATGTTGGCTGGTAATGAAGTTGCAGATGGAACAGTGGAAGTAACAGCAGAGGAGACCACATCTCCCACTATCAACAACCCAGACACATCAGTTGGTAAAGCTCCACAGAGTTAAACCTAAAGGACTTAAATTACATGTTTCGCCTGCTGTGAAAATATAAATTGTTTATATTTTCAATGCATGTATGGTTTTCTATATGCTGTTTTAAAACAGGACAGGCGGATGTGTCTGAAGATGCAGCATCAGAAGACGTGGGGGATGCAGAATTTTGGGATGGTGTAACAAAACCGGAAAAATCGACAGCTTCTCAACAAGAGAATGAGGTACCGAACTATACAAAGACACTAACATCAGAGTAATCCTTTCAAATTTGTATTTTTTACATGCCATTGTGTGTTGAATATGTTTGGACACAATGCAAAACTATTTGTTTAATTTTCAGCAAATGTAAAAAAAAGAGGCAACATGTTTAGGAAACACTGTCTGCTATTGCTTCTGTTGCTGCACATTGTATACAAAAGTATTTTCCTCTAAGAAGTATATCTTAAGATTTATTTTCAGCATACAAATGCTAGTTCCCCTAATATGAGGAAGAAAGACACAAGATTAATATCTGAATTGTAGGTTTTAATCAATCTTCTTAGGTTTCTAAGGGTTTTATTTGGTCAAGATTTACTTACAGGAAACAACCAACCAAAGAGCCAAAATTATTGATATTGAATAAACCTTAATTGCTTGAGAAGAACTATACCTCTACTTTGGAAGAGTTTCATTTTTGTACTTAAATCCTTTATTTATAGTTCATTTAATGTGTGTGAACTATTAGACTGTAAAATGAAGGTTGTGGTTAAGTTTAGTGTAATTTTCATCTTAGCGTACCCTCCAAACTCAGCAGAAAAACACAGACAGGCTTCTATAATGTCTTTGAATCTGACCCAAGTAAGTATATAAGAAAGGACACAACTGTCAAATGACTCTGGTTAATAAAAATATCTTATTTTATTTCAAACTTTCACTCTCCGCCACTAGAGGTTGTACTTTTTCTTTTTTTTTTTCTGTTCTATTAATCTCATTCCACAAATATTTCCCTTAAAGGTGGTGGATGATGACTATAACTCTCCAGCAGACAACGAAGCCGAAGAAGGTACTGTTTTTTTTTTTATGATACAAGGAAAAACAGTGGGTTGAATTAACATAACATAATTTTATTATAGGTACTTTAGCAAGACAGAAGGTCATAAAATACTCCCAATACATTTATAAATCAAAATAAGCTTAAGAAAACTAAATCAAAGTTTTGTTATCAAATTCAACTTAAAGACAGTTAACAGAGGCACATAGTGTATAAAGGACTGTAGTACACTCTTTTAGAGGAGGGAGGGGCTTGGTCAGACACTAAACTCAGAGTTATTGGTGCATGTGTTGCAACCAACGTCTCCTACAAGATAAGAAAAAAAGAAAAAAGGTCTGAAAAGTCGCTAAACATATCAACAAAGTCACTGAGATGGCAACACTGTTCTCACCTGACTCGGTGAGCCAATGGCAGTCCAGCGCAGGGTTCAAGTTTTCAGGGTTCCTTTATGTTTATGTTCCAACAAGGAGGTGCATTAAAAAAACAAAACAAAACAAAAACACAGTATCCATGGCCCGATCATTAAAAGTCAGAGTATCGACATATCTCCGTTGTAATTCTAAAAGTACCCTAACCAACATCAATCAACGGGGGGAGCTCCACAGCAATTTTTTCCCCCTATTGGCATCAACCAATTTTTAAGCGCAGAAGCGAGTAAAACTCTCGCACTGTACAGCCCTGCACAGGGAATATGCTATTTTAAATGAGTGTTCAAATGTCTAGTGGATGAAAAAGTAGTAGAATGAAAATTTCCTACATTGCACCTTGAAAAGTAGTTTGCATTCATGGTCTCTAGACGAGCAGATATATCTTAGATTTCTTTAGAAAAACTTTGCAAGGCATCATGGGATTTGTTTTGGGGAGGAGGAAAAGATAAAAGATGGGGCAGGCGCCATGCTGAGATGAAGAGTCAAAAAAGTAGTAGTCATCTGTCTGAACGTTCAGTTAACTGAGTGCATTATAAGGTGAACTACTCTATATAGTGAGGGTTTGGGAAGGACGCTCGGACACAGCCAGTTTTCTACCACACTTTTTCCTTCTTTTTCCCTCCCAAATTTCCTTGGAATAGGTCATGACACAGAAATCTGAGTGTTCCGATTTTTTTGAGCATCTGACCCTGTGGTCATTGGTTATTCCTGTTTCCTCCATGTAGAAAGATTCAACTTTAAAATCATCACTGACCCAGCAGATCTGATTAAGTTTGTTCAACATCTTAAGGAGAGTAACAGGAAGGTCTGTACTCTCACTTCTCATTTACCATTTTTCCTTTTTGAGTGTGTGTGGTGTACAGAGGAGGCTCTCTGATATTATTGTTACAGAAAGCTGAAAACCTGGCGAGAAGTAGAGAAGAGAAACCAACGGGGGACACGCATCCAGGGAAGCTCAGAGGAGAGGAGAAAGACGAAGATGAACAGTTACTAGAGGAATTTGAGGAGGAGATGGCTGACGTCTCTGTGCCTTCTGAGAAGATCGAAGAGATAAAAGAGGAAATGCAGAAGGAGTTCGATAACATCATTGATGAGGTTTCAGACTTGCATACTACTGGTTATTACTACCTGCATATTACCAATTCATCTTATTTAAAAAATATTTATGTAGTCATTCTGTTTGTTTGGTAGGCACAGCAAGAACTTGAAACAGAGGGTCTAAAGGGGGAGTTCGATCGCACTCAGGCAACACAGGCTCTTGAGACGACATTGGATAAGTTGCTGGATCATCTGGAGGAGAAAGATGTTCAAGATTCAGAACAGCAGAAGGTCCAAAGAGCCAGTGACCCGAGCCGAGGCAGCCCCAGCCTGGCTCCTAAGCAGCCAGGTAAAATTTCCAGGCTGTTGAGTCCTGGACTGCTGCCATTATGTGCACGTGTGTCATCATCACCAGTCATTTACGATCATCAGTGATGTTATGTTCTTCATCTCAGAAAACAGAGAACATGATGCAAAGATAAGCGATTATTTCAGATTGAACTCTGATTTGGTTGAAGGTCTTTTTTTTCCTGCTGCCAATATTAAATTTGGGCTGCTTAGTTTTTTTTTTTTTTATTAATAAAATCAGAACTAAAATAACTGAAATCCAATAGGTGATGTGAATTTGCCACAGCACAAAAATGTTGATTTAAACAGGTTTATTGGGACAGCGCCCCCCACCTGTGACCCTCCTGACGGGTTTTAAGGTGAATTCTCTCTTTTGTCCCTCTTTTGTCTCGTCGCCTCAGACCAAGCAGCTGACGACCACGTTAAGATCAAAATTACTAAGTATAAGACGGGCAGCAGCCCTGATGGTGAGGTCAAAGTTCAGGAGATGGGCGAAGGAGACCCCCAATGGCAGCACATAAAGGACGTGGTTAAAGAGCAGCTAGAGAAAGCAGGACTAAAGGCTGAAGGTATGGAGGGGTGGTGCAGCTATACACACAGCCTTTTCTCTTTTTTCCATCGCCTGTCTTTGGTTTTTATCAAGATCTGTCTCCTTCCATCTAAACTTTACTCGATTTATATAAACTTCTGAAATGTTGAACCTTGAAAAATGGCAATAAATCTGGATTACATCCTGAAATATTTTAACAGATGGCAGCTCTAGAATGAAGCTAATCAAAAGGCTATATAGAGATGAAGGGTTTATCATCCATGTGTCTTTTTTATTTCCACCCTTCTTTTTGCTTCATATTCATTCTAAAAATCTATATTTCAGTTTTATTGTTCCTAAAATGTTTGGGTTTTCATGTTTTTTTCCCCTTGTGTTGTTAAGGTAAAATTGAGGTGAAGATTCTGACGCGAAAAAATGCGGAGGAGGCAGGGGATCAGTGGCTGACTGAAGAAGATACAAAGTCCTTCAGGGAGCTGCTCATAAGTCTCCTGGTATTTATTACTCTCATTTGTTGAAGCAGATTTTAAACACAAATTGCTTTTGAAAGCATGCTGGCTGTGGAGCTAGTAGGAGCATTAATTTTCTGTAGATTTTAATATCAATCTATTGATTGCAAATAATTTCTGAAAATATAATGTAGTTTGCAGTTTATTTGGTAATATGACAGCAGTTGGGATGCAGCAAATTATTGGGTGTATCAGTTTAAAGCAGAGAAGCCATGTCGACTCTGGATGGTTGTATGGCGTTCAAAGGTTAGGCAAATATGTGAAATCCATTAAGGTTAGGGATGCAAGTTATAAATTAAAGGGGAAATGAAACATTCATCCAAACTTACTTAATTCACGAGATCGTGTCTTACTATTATTAATACTTAAATTACAAATGTGAAAAATATAAACATAAAAGGAAAAAAACAAAGATTTGTTTTAGAATTCTTTTGGTAAGGGCGCCTCCATGTTGCTGTACCTCTAATGGTGACGTCATGGGGTTGATTAATGCTAAAGCTAAGTATTAAATATGTTGGATATACCGGCAATAGACCATAAAACTTTTAAAACATTTGGTATGATGGAAGAAGAAGCTGAAAGGACACTGAAGCCTTTAAATCACATTGTTTATGCTTTTGAGCACATTCACCGTGTGACTTGAGCTGTAGGAAGGAGAGAAGAGGCAGTTTTGGATCCGGGTTAGTTTGATTCAACATAAACATAAAGTTAATCTTGAGACAACAATGAATTACCTTGAAGTTAAAAGATCAACAGGGATAATTTAATGAGCAGAAATGTTCTTAAATTTTTGAATTTTCTGTTGTATCAAGACGATCTTTCCATAACATGAAGGGCTAAATATATTTTTACAATATGCTGAGTTAGGAAAAAAAATGGTAGAATATATATTAACTATTTATTGTTTGAACTGTATTAAGTGTTGACTGAATTAACAAACAAATGTGTTATCACACATTAAGATTATTTATGAGAAAAAACAGGAACCTATGAGATGAAAAAAATAAATAAAAGTAAATGGCCATTTCTCAGTATGTGTACTTGTGCATTCTCATATGCTCATGTACTCGTGAAACGTCATCAGCCTCAGCCCTAGCACTGTCCCGATCACAAGAACACAAGGCTGAGAACGGACAAAGTCCCCAGATGTTGTTCTCGCCCATCAGAGCACACTTGAAAGCTGTCCCAGCATGCACGGCGGCAGCAGCAGCAGCTTCCAGGTTGGCACTCACAGAACTTAGAGTATGAAGTTGAAAGTTCTCTTTTCTGTTGCCTTTGTACTATAAAAGTACGTCTTTAGATCATTTAAGGCGAGAACATTATACTCTTAAGCTTAGTTATATTGCCCATTTACTGATTTAGTGCGTAATTTAAAAAAAGTTCAGATGTTGCAACCAGGGGACCTCAGAGTCGAACTGCAGCCAGAGCTAATTTTAGCCCGTGTGCAGCAGCCCTCTCTTGGCATTGCTGTGTGTGAAGTACCGCTGGCGCTGATGGCGATTGTTACTTTTTTTTTTTTTTTGGCAAAACTATAATTTTATTTGTCTTTTTTCTGTCTGTATTAATTATTATTTCCCCACTTAAGTAAGAATTTTATAATTATCTAGAGACTGTAACAGGAGGTTAAATGCAGCTTCAGAGTCCATATTTTCCTGTGTTCTTCTATAGAACATACTTTGTGAGGACAGGAGTCTATAGTGTTCTTGTGAATTGAAAAACAACCTATGTGTTACCTTGTTTCCATAGTAACAGTTTTATAGTTCTGTTTTACTGTAATGCACAATCTGGGGGAAGAGACTTTTTACTCTTAGCAGTTCTGAACAGGTTATTCTGGTTGCTCTCAGAGAAATGATAAAGGTCGCTTTCATAAAATGCTCCAGGAAGCAAAAGCCCTCCCTATCTATCATGCTTCTATCATCATATGTTTTTGTGCAAACTCCTTCCCCTTTTTCATCATTATTCCTGGCTTTTCAAGCACAACAGAGAGAAAGTGCTGCTGCATGAAGAAACAGTACAGTGGGCACTACTTGGGTGATAACTTAAGGAGTTTATCAACTGTTAATATTTGTAAAACAGAACTACCGTAGATAAATTGCATTCTGCGTCCTTTTCGCCATAAAGTAGCATAATTCATCCTGGTTTGGACTCACAACTGATTCCTGGTTTTATTTTTAGCATTCCTTCCTCTGTTCTGGTGTTACAAATAATAGAGATGCAGCTTAAGTATAAACGGTACCCCCCTCTAGTAAGTGGTAACATTACAACACTGCAAACATTCTGAATGTTATCATTTAATCTGATGGACCAAATTTTTACCTAATAGACTATTAATCAACAATTAATTTTAGTTTCATCTTTTGTGTACATCCATAGTAAATATTGCTCAGTGATAACGGCAACGTTATTATCGGATATCAGCCCATATTTTCATATGGGTAGATCCTTACTAATGTATTCTAATTGTTTGAAAACTTACCTACTGTAGACCTTTTAGGCTTCTTTGTTTTGAATGAATACAGGTTTATGCAAATGCCATTTCATTAACTTTTAAAACCAACTCCTATTTTTTAATAATTGATCTGGTAATAACTTGCACTATGAAGGACTGTAATAGGCTTTGTGCCATCATCCTGATTTCCCTTTATGAAACATTGTGAGGACAGAACATTGCTTTATTAAGTCCCTCCTCCTTTATATGAGACAGTTCTTCTAGATATGATCAAAAAATATTCTTCTCTTACATAGAAATAGTTCATTGTATAAACCCTTAGAACTCTCTGGGCTTAATTTAAATAATTCCCAAATTTAAAAACTAAAATATTAAGTGGGTCTTATATTTACAACTGAATGATTACCCTCTGAAATTACCTCTAAAAAGCAGTGTTAAGTGAGGAAACCTAAACCTAAATTACATATTCAGTGTTTTCTGTTTCTAAATTCCTCAGAACCTGCAAGGGCTTGTTCCAAAGTCAAATGAATCCTGCTCTCATAGCTCATGCATTTCCTGTTTACTTGTTGTCAGAAGGCACATCCAACATTATTGACTTAAAAAAAAACTTTTCTGTTTTTTATTTCATAGTTAAGTAAAAAAACAGCAGATTTACCTGAGTTCCAGCACTATACATTCCAAACTGGATTAAAAAGATTTCCATTTCAGGGCACTCACCTCAGAGTTTATAGATCAAATTTCATGTAGGCAGGGCTAAATCCTCTCCAATAGGCTGATTGCACATCAGAAGGATTGTATAAGTAAAAAAAAAAACTAGAAACAGGTCATTATACTATTAAACGGAGTGTGTGTGCTTGCATGAAATATGTATATCCCAGCAGGTGCAAAAATTATGTTGAAGCTATTATTACGTTTAATCTTTAACTATATTTCACTGCATTTGTTGGCTTCATTCAATAAATAAAATTAATGATTTGTAAGAAGTTACACCATGGTTCATGACTTAACATTAGAAAAAAAGAGCAGACCTGCAGCTGAAACTGCAATATTTTTTGCTCTCCTAAGCTTCATGTTAAGCAGCTGAAAGTGTTGTATTTACAAGAAAACTTGTATTTAGGACATGAAAAGTAGTAATGCAAAAGGAAAACTGAGAAATGCAGAAGCAGAAAAACAAAAGGAAACCAAACTACGGAGGCATCAGGTAAATGATCAGTTAGGTTGCCCAGAGTTGAGGATTTTTTAAAAGAAAATATTCATAACTATTATATCTTCACTTTTAGGAAATAAGAAACTCTTGGTTAAATGCAAGAACTGTTGTGTTAAGCTTAGGAAGTGACAGGTAAATTAGGCTCCTTTCGTTGAAAAGCTCCATTTTAAAATCTAGTTTAACAAATGCTTTGCTATTTGTGCCTGATGATATCCTCGTCAGGATTCCAACCCTCATTTTCAGCATAACTGGCAGAGACTGGAAAAACTGGGATAATTTTTGATTGTTCGGCAGAGCTATCAATGAGGTCGATTGCAATCTACCAAACAGTTTAACAGCTGCATCCCTCACGGTTTGCTGTTGGCATGAAAACATAGTGCAGCAAAAAGAATTAGTCCTTCCTATGTTGTATGAGCAATTTTAGCATATTTAATAAAAATGGGCTGTAGTTGTAACTGGACAATATGGCTGGAAAATATATCATTATATATATATATTTTTTTTTATTATCAGTCTATGAATAATTATTAAGTGTTTTGTTTTACTATTTGAAAAAAGGGCCAGGGCGAAAAAGCTCAAAATTAAATTGTAACCCCGTATAAATATAAGAGTTTAACTTTAAAAATTGCTGGCTTATTTTGCCCATTAGAGGCGAAATCATTTCTCTGCTTACATCCCTCATAATGCCATGTTGTTTTTGATCAGAGTGCAGTGGAATATTTAACATTTATATTGGAAGTATTTTCTATTGACATGGATGTACATTGATTTATTGCCCAGGCCTAACTGTGGTGAAAAATGTTAGTGCTTAAAAATCTATTAATGCGGAAATGAAAATGCATCTTGATTGCAAGCAGTGTTTTCTTTCAAACAACTACAGGTTCTTCCAGTAAAGGACATACCATGCCAGGTCTTGGATAAAAAAAAAAAAAAAGGATAAGTTCAACAAATGCTGCTTACTAGTCGCTTCACAGATTAAATTGCAGTAGCAAAACAAAGAACTCAGGATATGGAGATATTTACCCCTGAACTTCTTCTAAGTTCTAACTTATTCTGCCATTTTAAAATGTGGCCCGGATGTGTATTATAGATGTTATTATGTACTTTTACGATGGATATCTGGCTTTCTTGCAGTGTTCTGGGGCCTTTTGTACCAAAGAGTGTGCTGCTTTCATGCTGAAGTTTGCGATTGTAATACCCTTTTCCCACTGGCCGAAAAACCTACTTAAACTTGGGAACAATCTGCTTTTAGTGGCAGTGGGAACAGCTCACTGAAATGTGTCTACTCAAGTCAAACAACTCGGAAAGTGACCCGCGTTAAAATCACCTCAGCTTTGATCGGCAAAATTTCTTGACACCAGTGAATGACAAAGTACTGACGTACACAACCGCCCCAGTTGGTTAAGCAGTTGAGCTTGATTTTTAATTACACAGAAAACCTCTAAATGACTGCAGAGGCAAACGACCCCATTAAACATGCATGAATTCTGTATTAATCCTCTTTAATTGTAGTATATTGTTGTAAAGAATTCATATCTGTACTTCTGACATTTGGTCGTATTTCAATATATACATTTCCTTAAATTCCAGTAATGTTTTTTATATTTTTTTTGGACCTTGTCCTTTCTCCTCCCTTATCCTTACATAGCTTCCATATAAAATGCCTGAGCTCTTTAGGAATATCTGCTATAAACCCACCCTGAACTGTTTTGTTTTACAGTATGAAATTACTGGAAAACCATTTCCAGACACGTATACATTTTTTCAACGGCAAATCTGTTTTCCATTTCAAAATATCATTGTCACATGAGTTTTCTGTTATGATGTAGCCCTACTGTTGCATTTGGTCTAAAACCTTCTAACCTTTGAAACCCCAGTTAATGCAGAACTTTTATTACAGATCCAGTGGTTAATGGTTGTTTAACGTTTACCGCTTTTATAGCTCTATGTAAGTAATAAGGGATTGTCATTCAGGTAGAAACCTTGTGATCTTTGTTCACACCGAATGTCCCAGTGGAGATTTAAGCCTGATTTATACTCAGAAACCAGGTTGTCTGCATGTGTGTTGCAGTGAATGCTAATGTGCCGACACAGACACTCTGCTGCAATTGTAGGTGAGCGCAGACAGTGCCGCACACAGTAGGCATCTGATTGGTCAAATCTACATCCGCTCTACACTGGGTATTTCCTGTTTGGTACCTTACCAGCTTGCTTTGATTGTATGACTGCCATTCGGAAAACGACTCGTTAAGTTCGACCAGCTAGAAGAGTGATGTGCGCGAGAACGAGAACGGACCCTTTTCCACCTGGGTCTCCGCTCTTTTTCGCCCTCATGTGCCCCCATTGTCATACAAACTTACCCCCACTTCCTCACCACCTCGGCCGTATCTAGAACCACAGCTAGTTCTTTATTGTCCATATCTCTGACAAGCTCACTGCCACACACTGCTGCGGGAGTATAACCAGCCCTTTAGAAGCAAACACATTTTGTCAGCCAAACAACTTTGCAATGCAAATAACATTGGATCTGACTGTCGGGTTTGTTTTCCATTTACTATCCTTTGTTTCACTCTGCAGACTGGAGGCACGGAGGAGGTTTATAAGGAGCAAAAAAGGCAGCAAGAGCTGGAAAACAACTACAGGTTTGTGTGGGGAGAAAGTCAGGAGGATACCCAGTCACCCAGCTCATCGGACTCGGACGATGTGGACATTTGAGCTCACAATGAACAATCACCGACCTTGTTGTGATGAACTCCTATGGAGGCCAGCAATTGGTGGGACTAGCTAAAATACAAAGCCTTGTTAATCTGGTTGAACCTGTAAGTGATGTCCAACACAGCTGTTTGCACATTCAGAAAAGGATTTCACATGAAGTGGAAAGGCAATAAGTTGGTGTCTGTAAAAGGCAGCGTCCAGATGTTGCACAGTGAAAGTACGTTTTAGCTGTATTTACACAGTTAAATGAAGTTATGCATTTTCCCATTTTTTGATGGGATTGAGTTTATAAAGGTTGACAAACTCAGCTGAACTCAACATTTCCATCGAATTCTGAAGCTGCAAACAGTTATGCGCTCTTTATGCTGCCATTCCCTCCGCTGTTCTTACCTGTTGTATCAGAAAACCGTTTGTTTGCCTGAATATTTGCCATGCTAAAAAGTATACAACATCAACAAGCAACATTAAAAACCTGACTTGTATTGTTCATCAAAAGACTCCCAGCCAGATGTGTCTTGAAAAAGTGTCTAATTCCCCCCCCCCACATCTCTCCACACAGCTAAAAACTTTGAGTGTTTTATGGAGTTTTTATCTGACCGATCAATACTAAGAGATGTAAATTGTGAAGAAAACTGACTTTATTTGAGTTCTTTAGTAATTAAAACAGAAGATATAGTTTACATCTTTATGCAGCTTCTTGGGTTTTAACATCGTACCAGCATCAAACACTAGATTAAAAGAAAGGGGATGAGAATAGTGATTTTCAAATAGCTCCTCTCTTCCCATTAACTCTCCCAGCATGAAGCTGCCATAACCCTGTTAAACTACCAATTAGGGGACTTATGATGAGGATGATTGCAGAAAAGTAAACACTTTTCAGATACTTATTTGTAAAACTAATTTGAATTACCAGTCTCATTTTACTGCTGCTCCCAGCTTGGTGTTGATCTGTCAATTAGAATTCCAATAGAACACCTTCATGTCGTTATAACATGGCAGAACATGAAACTGTTTAGCAGGCACTTTATCTGTGCACAAGCCGCTGCAGCAACCAAATATGTTTTTTTTTTTCTTCTGCCAAACAGACACTGTTAAAGGAGCCATTGCAGTGCAGCAAGATTTTCAAGCATTTGTTTTTGTCAGACAAAAAAAGTTTAATTTATCTTTATAAAGCAAAGGAAAAGCCACTATTCCTTGTAAGATTTAGCTCGTGAAATGAATGAATTCAGATGTGGATTTAAAGGGCTGAATTTGCATAGTTTGAATAATTGTGCTTCTGGGAACTCTGTACATAATTGTTGTCAAAATATTTTGAATGTTTTGCTGGTATTGGCACATCTTAAGTGGTGATGGACTACTTCAGTAAATGTGTTTACCGGTTTACACTGTGTGCTTTTATTATCTAACGAAAAAAAATTCTTTCTTAGGGTTGGGCATTAAAGTAATTAGACGGTGAAGTCATTCAGGTAAAGTTATTTCATTACCAACGTCACTAAATCAATGAAGATCATAGATCAAACTTTGGCTTTGGCTAACGTAGAGCTAAAATAGTTTGCATACTGTCAAGTAAATGTGGTCATAAAGCCCATTAAAATAAGGTAAATTTAAACAATTCTTTTTAAAACATTTGAACAAACTGCTTTTGGTTTTTACTTGCACCTTCATTTCCTACTGTGATTTAGTTGTAGTTTCCTTTCCATAGTGATTTGCTTGTATGGAAAAAACCTCTCAGCCTTATCAGGACGAAAATACCTTTGAAGCAGGAACGTGCAGAGGGGGAGGGGACCCCTGCCCCCCCTGCAAAGTACCCTTTTCTTCCTATTTTAGTTTATTAAATGTATCAATAAAGTTATATTCTTTATCTTTTATTGTGTTTCATAAGAGAAATGACATGTTAACTTTGATGAGGGCAATAATTGCCCTCTGCAATGAGACGGAGAAGAAGGGTGGAGCCAAAAATAAGTCCCCTTTGGTCCAGATTTCAGCCTAGTTTGTCAATAAAATAGTACATGGGAGAAATGTAATCTTAATACCTAAGCACACTTGTCAGACGACACCAGCTATTTTGTTTCTGCCTCTTCCCTGTTGGAGCTGTTTGAGCAGAGATGGGCAGAGAGGAGAAAGGGGAGGGCTCTGTGCTCTCCCTGAAGGCAGAGTTGAACTGATGTGCAAAGATGCCGCCACTGATAAACTGATAAGGAGTAAACAACACTTGCTGCAATGTTTGCAGATGTCGGACCAAAGGCAGCTCCATCTGTGCCAACTTGCTCACTGCGCAATTATGCTTTGCCACAGTAAAAAAGGTAGTTCTCTAAGATGTCCAAGGAGAGTAACTGAGCGCTTGATCAACCCCGCTCTAATGACCCCCAATGTGCGCCATGTTTTTCTTTAAAAGGTTTGCCACATCAGTAAAGCTTTGTCCCTAAAGTGAAACATGAGAGCTTGATCACTACAATAGTCAGAGGAGCAAGAACTGAATAAATGAGAAGACCGAGCAGAAGGGTTGGACTAAGATTTCATGGGGTTCTTTGAAAACATGTCGTAAGTACTTTTTATTTTAATCCTTTTGCTTTAAATATCAACGTATTTTATATATATATATTGTATGCAGAATTATTATGCAGAATTATTAGTGAATATTTCGACCGATTTTGTCCTACTCCAAGCTGTATAGGCTTGGAAGCCAACTACCAATTAAGTAAATCAGTTGGTGTGCATCTCTGCATGAGAAGGGGTGTGGCCTAATGATATCAACAACCTATATAATGTGTGCTTAATTATTAGGCAACTTCCTTTCCTTTGGCAAAATGGGTCAGAAAAGAGATTTAACAGACTCTGAAAAGTCAGAATTGTCAGATGTCTTTCAGAGGGGTGCAGCAGTTTGGAAATTGCGTAGCTTTTGAAGGGGATCATCGTACAATCAAGCGATTCATGGCAAATAGCCAACAGGGGCGCAAGAAGTGTGTTGAAAAAAGAAGACGCAAAATAACTCCCCATGAATTGAGAAGGATAAAGCGTGAAGCTGCCAGAAAGCCATTAGCCACCAGTTGTGCCATATTTCAGAGCTGCAACATGCCTGGAGTGCCGAGAAGCAAAAGGCCACCTTTGAACAAGAGACACAAGACAAAACGTAAAGATTGGGCCAAGAAATATCTGAAGGCTGATTTCTCCAAGGTGTTTAGGTCTGATGAAATGAGAGTGAGTCTTGATGGGCCAGATGGATGGGCACCAGGCTGGATCAGTAAAGGGCAGCAAGTTCCTTATCGACTCAGACACCAGCAATGTGGAGATGGGGTGCTGGTATGGGCTGATATCATCAAAGATGACCATGTGGGACATTTTTGGGTTGCAATTGATGATGGAGTCAAGATCAACCCCAGACCTACTGCCAGTTTCTGGAAGACACCTTCAAACAGTGGTACAAGAAAAAGTCGCCTTCATTCAAGAAAAACATGATATTCATGCAGGACAATGCTCCGTCACACGCATCAAAATACACCACAGCATGGCTGGCCAGAGAAGTCTAAAAGGAGAAAAATAATGACATGGCCCCCTTGTTCACCTGATCTGAACCCCATCGAGAACCTGTGGTCCTTCATGAAATGTGAGATCTACAGGGAGGGAAAATAGTCCACCTCTCTGAACAGTGTCTGGGACGCTGTGGTGGCTGCTGCATGCAATGTGGATCGCAAACAGATCAAGACACTGACAGAATCTATGGATGGAAGGCTTTTGAACGTCATGGTGAAGAAAGGTGGCTATATTGGTCACTGATTTGTTTGTTTTTTAGTTTTTGAATGTTGCAAATGTTTATTTCTGAATTTTGAGTTGTTATTAGTTTACCTGGTAAAAAAAAAAAAAGTGAGATGGGTATATATTTGTTTTTTTTTTATTAAATTGCCTAATAATTCTGCACAGTAATCTTAACCTGCACACAGACATCCTCATAAAATGGCCAAATCTAAAAAAACCAAACATACATTAACTTCCAAAAATATGAAAATTTGATATTAAAGGAATAGTACACCCAAAACATGATTAGCCTCCATTTTCTACTCACCCCCATGCTGAACAACACTCTGGAGTACTTTTTTGATATCTCAAATGCATCTGGAGATCTGGGAGGCTTCTTACTGTCTGCT